TCGCATTGAATAACACCCCCTAAGTTATTATTGGTCAAAGAAGTAGAATGTGTCTTCCTGGTTTGTAGAAAACACGTTAGAGATAAGAGTAGTGGTTAGTTATTTCTGAAGTCTATTTAAGAGATTAGAGTCTTGTACGTTTCATTATTCAATCAATCGAGAGTATTTTCATTTTCTATCTTTTGCTGGTTTTAACAACTTTGCTATCCACGACGCATGTGCAATCTTCCTCAGAAAATGGGAAATGCTTTGCCACGTCATCCGCTAGTCTTACAAATCGAAATGATGGATATTAACAAGGGATTCTTCACTTGCTCTATTTGTGTTGATTCATGTATCAGTGTAGCCATGAGGTTTGTGGGTTCAAAATAAGGATTTCGGATGTGTGACTTTACCAAGATTGGTAAAAATACAAGCACGATGTTCATCTGCTCACTCTACTTCGTGAATTATGTTACAACTGGAAGTATATCATGTGTGTGATTTGCGAAAAACAATAATTGTAAACTTGTTATTTTGCATGTGCCATGATTTCTTGGTGCATATTAGGGAAATATCCTTATCTGAAACCTGGTCATATGATGATCAAAGTGGATGGCCTCAAGTTAGAGATCGCTTCAAACAATGGTGCTTCTCGGTCTATTTGCCATAAATGTCATCGTATCTGCGAATACAAATTGGTTTGCGTCAATGGGAAATTTGTATGTTTTTGTTCTATTGATTGTATTCATTCTTCTACCAAACTTGTCGAAAAACTCAGATTAAATCATTTCATCCTAAAATACAATGTTGTTATAATGTGGATGAAAATAAATAATGTAATCCTTACAATTTCTTATGTGAGTTTTATGAGGAAGACACTTATAAGTAACAAAGTAGAAGGTTACAACAAGGTCCAAATAGATTCCCCAATCTCAACAAACGCTCAATAATGTTTTGTGTCCAATAGATCAGAACTCTGAAGCTCGAACAGAAAACGAAAGTCAGTCTTTGCCCGTCTCAGATGATGCAGCCTTTCCAGAATATTTGTTTCGCCAGACCTGTTTGTTCTTCTCGATAGCGTTATGGTTTTGAGAAAACTCAGTAAGCCCTTGTCGGAACGCTCCAAGGGTAACCCCATCACCAACCAAGATGCTTGTCACTCCCATTTTTGAAACCTGTTCAATTCACACAGCAGGGATCCAATCTTAGTGCACAAAGTAAAGACTAGAAGAATATCAAGCTCTATAAGTAGTTTGGGGATTACTGATTTAATGTTTCTGTCCTCATCATCGAAGAAGAGCATGGCAGTAAAAGGCACCCCTGTTCTTGTGTGTATTTTCTGAAAATGTTCAGTCTTGTGACTCCAACTTGAATATATTTCCTGAAACAGATCGCGAAAGGATTACCGTATGACATAAATCCACTTCCTATTCTTAGATTTCATCACTTACATCAACTAACCTTGGCGACGAAGGAGGACTTAATATTCAATTTGTCAATGAAAGTGTTAGCAATATCAGAAGTTGGAGATCTGGAAGCAATAGCCATTTCAATTCCTTTCTCTTTCAGAGCACTCATTATACCCTTTGCTTGTGGATACAAAGACGGCATTTCGCGTTTCGAACGGTACTCGCTGAAATCCATACAAAACATATATTCAAACTTCACTTTGCAGATTGAGACAAGGGTAATTGCAAATTCGCACTCTTTGTTGACATGCTATGAAATTGATATATTATACAATTCCAATTTTCGTAACGATAAAATCAGACAAGTTGTTGTTACCAGTAAAAAGGCCAGAGAGTATAATCGAGATCAAAGACGACAAGTCTGGGAAGAATTTGAAACATTCCAATGATCTGCATCGCTTCATCTTTCACCTTCTCTTCCGCCATCGGAGAGAGAGAAGATACGACGAGTCTCTCTTTCGCTACGCGTTTTTACAATTACCTGTTCTTCAAAACTCAACATTTACCAAAAACAACCCCTCTATTTTTTAAAAAAACCCTTTATTTATTAGAAAATTACTCATAGCACGACATACTTTTGGGAATTACATTTGTGTATTTGGGAAAATCTCTCATCTTTAATCGTTTCATTTTTAATGTCTGTTATAGAGATAATTTTGTATAAATAAACGTGGAATTCCCTTATTTGTAAATTTCTTTTATTGTTGTGTGTGCAAAACCTTATTTGTAAATCATTCATTGCAAAACATTAGAAAAGGATCCACATTTTTCTCCGATTATGTTCTCTCTATAAAGCTATCTTTGTAAAAGTCAAAATGGTGGAAGACCCATAATTTAATAACTTTTAAAGTTACGTGTCTATTGGATTGTCATTTTCGGTTCTTTGTAAAACATAGTGTATGATTGGTTAGATTTTAAGCCTTGTCTACAGCTTTAATTTTTTTTAAAGCATCATTATGTTATCAATAATGTTGTAGCTTTAATTCTTTAAGTTTCAAACCTACATCCTTTGTTACCAATCATGTTTTTGCTTTAATTCTATAAGCTACAGCTTCTTTAATTTTTTTTAAAATTTCTTTTGTTGTAACATGTAAAATCCTACAGCCCCATTTTTATGGCTGTACACTTTTATTTTTTAAAAAAAAATATTTTTAAAAAATGGAAAAATCAAGATAAGCACATCGATTTACTTAATTAAAAAAAGTCTAACCTATATATATATGTGTGTGTGTATATTGCCGTCACAAAGGTTTGAAGAAACACGTCTTCTTATTTTCTCTTCACCACAAATCAAATCAGTGAGTCTCTTTTCTAGATTATACAATTTTTTTAATGATTTTACTTATTATGAATAATTCAGAAGTTCATTATTTATTATGTTCAAATCAACATAAAATTTCTAAATTATAACAATTTTTATTTGCATAAATTAATTTAATTAAAACTACAGCACATATCTTATAGTTACCAATCGTGTTTTTATTTTAATATTACAGCTACAGCTTAATATGTACAGCAAAAAAATCTGCAGCCTAAAAATGTACAGCCTAAAAAATATACAGCTACAGCCAAAACATTTACAGCAAAAATTCTACAGCAATTAATCTACAGCTACAGCCGAACCAATCACCCACTATAGTTTCTCAAGTTTTCAAAAACTATCGTCTTTGTATTTCACATATAATGAGCAATTTACACAATTTTAAGACTCACCTCGTACAGAAAAAATCTAAGGCCATGTGAAATCACACCAACATCTCTACATTTTCCACGAATATAACATTTGAGTTGAAGACCAAAAAATACATATATAGGCCCCCCAAAATATATAATATATATAGATAGACTAAAAAGAAAAAAGCAACTTCATTTCTTGGCGTGTTCAACCTCTTTCCCAAGCGTTACTACACGTAAAACCCTTTTTATTTTAAGCATAAGCTTTACCAAAATCACACACAAATTGAAAACATTAACGAATATAAAAGCTTGTGCCAATGAATTTCAGCATCTTTGATTTCAGTGAACGGATTCGATATGTATCTGACTCGGAGAATGCAGAGCGGAGGCTATGCGGTGTATAGGCAGGGACTTGCGGAGGTCTTACAATTATACAACAACAAGGTTGAGAGGAAGGCATCTCTCACTCCATTTCCGACGATCATTCGATTTGGAAGAGAATATAATAACCAAATGACTCCACAAGGTCTCAAGTTATCATCAAATCCACCGGTTAATGCTGGGAATAATCACATTAGTAATGGTTCCAAGATGCAACCTTCTCCTCCAAACCGATGGTTTAATTTTCCTTCTTGGTACTCCTCTCTCTCTCTCTTTTCGATCTATTTATTTTGGAAAAATCAAATCTATCTATCCATGTCGAATAAAGCAATCTGTAGCTTAAGAGATATACAAACCACTTATTATGC